TACACAGACAAGATATATGTTACTTCTACTTCTGCAAGGCTTGAAATAAATATCTAGGTTTATAAATAGACCATCATTAGGGACTGAAAACTGGAAAGCAGCTTATGGAAATAAAGATGAGGAAGGAGAAAGGATGGAGAAAGCAGGACCTTTGGATGGGATCTGTTAGCCCAGCTTCAATAACATCTTTAACCTTCTAATGGATCTGCTGCCCAATGTCCAGAAAAGCAGATCCTGCTGATGTTTCTGATTCCATCCACTGAGTGCATTTCCAGGGACAGCACACCCACCTTTGCAAGGACACCATGGGCTGCTTTGAATCACTGCACAACTGCAGGTGAGAGACTGTAACACACAATTTGAAAAATCCTCCTGCCAAACTGAGATCATATCCCAAGCTCAACACCAAGGTACAGTGCTGTTTGTGGAGTAAATCACTCTCCAGGTCTAGGACCTCCCAGGAAACTTCCCATGGCAGACAAGTGAGCTTGTTTTATGGCAACACACAAGATTAAATGTCAAGCAGAGTAATTATACTGGAGCAAAAAAACCCCAACAACCCTCTGTGCTATGAAGAAGCTGCAGAAGTATATTCCTGTGCCTGTTCAGGACTCATTTCATGGGTGATCTGTGTCAGGGACAACCAGAAACTGAGAACACACCAAGATCCACCTGAGACCTCACATATTCCAAACTGATGCAATCTCATGGACAACTGAAGCAATAAGGAAAGAGAGAGAGATCTCAGTATAGAGTAAGATGTAGACCCTGAACTTGTTTTTCCCTATGCACGATCTACTAACAGCAAAGTCTGCAGGTACATCTGAAAAAAACCTCAGCATTTTTTCCTGTTCTAAATTCCATGATAAGGGTGAATAAACAAGTTCCTTTAACCTGCTGGTTCCACTGCAAGTTCACTCACTAACACATCCCAGAACATGCAGAATTGTAGAAACATTAGAAATGGTAAACAATTATTTAAGCAGCAATACTACGTTTCATTTTTTATTCATTAAAGTTTTTGATGTTTGCATCAGGCTTTTGACTTTCCAAAGCTATTCTACATCAAAAATCATTAAGACCTCTAAAAATTTATCACAAGTCAGTTTACAGAGGACATTGATGTCTTATTGCTATCCATTCCTCCTGGACCATTTCTAACAATTCATTTTTTATATTCCTGCAGTGCTGAAATATGGTTCATACCAGTATCTATCCTTTAGTAATCACCAAAGCAAAACTTGGCAGTTGTCATATATTGCACTCTTGAGAAAAATGCTAGTAATACTCTGAATTGATTGAACAGCATGGAATCAGAACTAACTGGCAGAGAAACCATTAAACTGATTTCAATCCATAAATCTCTTTTCTCCTACCCTGTTTTAGTTTAGAAGCTGCTGAATGTAGCCATTATCTTGTGATGCATTGAATGAACCAATTATTTATATGGATATTAATTTAAATAATACGTGATTGCATTCATGAATGCCCCATATGAGCAGGCAGATGTGTGGATCTTGGTGAGTAACTTCCATTTATGCACAGTGAGCTATAGAATAACAGTCCTTGGCCAGCAGACATCAATTCCTTTTATTTCCCCAGAGGTCAACATCAGGTATAATGTCCTTGCTTGCCTTAAAAATAAAGTGGTTTTAAACAGAACTTTACCTGCTTTAGGCAACAATTTCAATCCTTGAGTGTGACCTAAAATGACTCATAGGACATAAGGTCACTGATGTGACAAGGTTTAATTACTTGGCAGGGATACACTTGATGTCTAAAGCAAATGCTGCTGCTTGACATGTTTTTAGGAGAAAAAAGAAAAAACAAGTATGTCCAAGAACTGTACTTGAGTCTTAAAGAATTCTAGAAATGGGGCCTTTGAAATGAAGTCCAAGGAGAACCAGGAGAACAAAGACAAATGGGCTACAGAAAGGCAAGGGACAGAATTTGGGGAACCAAAGGCAGAGCTCTTGCAGAGGTGAACTGAGGAAGGTATCCCAGAAAGGACCAGGTCAGTAGGAAGTGGGGTGGTTTGTTCATCCACCACAATCATCCACGACAGGCTGGATGATGCTGGATGCTTTGGAGACTGAAACCCAAGATGCTTCCTGCCTAAATTTAAGATATTCTGTCGTGCTGATTGCTTTGGTGCTTAAGGGAAAAAGAGCAGAGAAAGTAAAAGGGTTCTGTTCTTTGTGACATGGAGGAGTGTGATTTGCAAATTAATAAGGGTTGGCATTGTTTATCAGAAAGGGCTGTTTATCTGAAATGGGCTGCTTTCTAAATTCATTAAAATGGATAACCAAGAGACAAAGCTGGGCCTGAGAGAGAACTGGATGGGACCTGTGGAGTTTCCTTAAAAGTAGCATTTCTTCTTCTGCATGTAAACTCATTAAGCATCTTGTGCTGAGATTCTGGATCTTGAAATCCAATTATCTGTATCAATGACACTCAAGACTTCAGGACCTGCAAAGTCACTTTGTCAGGAAATGGAGAATCCCAAATACAGAATAAGAGCACAACTCAGAATAACATCTGATGGTGCTTGAATTGTGTGAACTGATACTGCCCTGAAATCCTTGGGCAGCACAAAAAGCAATATATCACTGCTCACTGCAACCTTATTGCAAAAAAATGGATCAAAGAGGTATAAATATTTGGCAAATAGTACTGCCATCCCTTTTAATCCTGAATTGAATGGGAAGAATTTCCTTCTCAGCCTCGGACCAGAATTAACCATTAAGTCACCTACTGTGTGACAGGCCACAGATGGGGCTTTTTTTCCCCTTGTAGGCTGCAGGGTAGGAAAACAGTGATGTTATCCTTCATACCCTCCTGTCAGACCATTTCTTATCTTAAGGAGAAAGAAAAATATTGCTTCATTTCCAAGCAGTCTAAAAATTTGTAGGAAAGTCTCAGTCTGGTTTACTAAAAGGCTTTCACTACTAACACTGAAATAAACTGTCCAAAGGAACTAGAAAGAGATGTGCTTAAATGGAAACCTTAGACAAAAATTCTGTCATGGAATGGAACTTTTCATCTGCCAAGGAGAGAAGGGAGAACTAAACAGGTAACTGGTTTATAGAAATTAAACAATGCCTCCCACTAAAAATGAAGCCCAGGGGAAATGAGTGGCAAGGTGTGGAAGGGGTAAGAGGAAATATTAAGTCAGCGATCACAGATTGGTCTTGGATTGTCTTTCTGTGGATAAGCCACTTCTGTTCCTCATAAGGTAACTTCCAAAGTGAAGCACACAAAGTAGATATGTTGCTTTCAAAATTAAATAAATATTTTTCAAATTCAGATGAAACTGAACTTCTAAATTAATCGCAAAAAAACCTGTTAAGAACTTGAAGTTACTGTTCCAGGAACAACTAAACTGAGTATTTCCTTCCATCTTGCTCTCTCTTAGAGCTTGAGTCTCCTCCCAGCCCCTTTTCCAAAGGAGGTTTATAATTGTCACTGTGTGCAAGTAGCTGTCTCTGTTGTTCACTGTGCATGTAAGCTAGCTTATTATAACTTTGATTTGAAACCACATCAAATCCCTTTTTTATTTATTCATCGTTTTCCTTAGGATGAGTTCCATAAAACCCTTTCATGTACAGCATAATCACAGTTAAGTCTTGTCCAAGAAATTCCCTGGCTGCCACAGCAACTGGTTCAGAGCGCTGAGAGTGGAAGTGCTTCAGCCCATATGAAACACACCTCTATTTTTAACATACAAAAAAACTACCAAGGAAATGAACACAAATACACTACCTGCCAAATCAAATCCTCAGTGAAGCCTTAACTATGAACAAAGTTTTATTAAGGCATCAAAACTGCAATCTCTTTTCTCAAAAGATTATTTTGATTTAACCATTTTTGAAACCTCTCGAAGACAAATCACAACAAGAGCAAATCCTGTTCTTGTAAAGTGATAGGAGGTTATCAGAGGCAGCAAAAACTTCATCACTGATACAGCATCTCCTGGTTTGTCAGTGCCTCCAAATTTTATCAATAATCAGACATTTGCTTCAGTCTGAGCTGGTAAAAAAACCAAGCTGAATCCTTAGAATTGCTGAAGACACTGAATATTCTGAACCTTCTGCATATGACTCACCGACAACTTTCACATTCTTGAATTTTGTGTTTTGTCATTCTGTAATTTATACATAATGTGAAATGTGTAAGCCTTTATGTACATAGCAGAGTCATTAAAACTCTTGGTGGGTTTTTTTTTTGTTTTGTTTATTTTGTTTTGGTTTTTTTGGGGTTTTTTTTTGTATCAAAACTAAAAACCCTCACACATTTCCATTTAAAAAGCAAAACATCAATATTAGCCTGAAATTCAGGCCAGAGTTGGAAGCATTACTGTCCTCCAGCAATAACAACACCACCATTTCAGCATTTCTGCAGTGAAACCCACATCAGCCCACATTCCAATGTATGTACACATGAGCCACCAGAACTTCCATGGGAAGTACGGAGCAAATTCCTACAATGTCACGCTGTTTCCAGTGGACATCTCATTTGTCATGACAAGGAAAGATAAATCATTTTGAAATAACCTTTTGTTGGAGTCTCTGCTTGCTCTGATATTGTAATTCACGCTGCCTTTTCACTTGCATTGATCTGTAACACAGGTTGGGTAAGAGACAACTGCCTGCATGGAACAAGCAATAAATACCCTTTAAAATACCCTTTTAGGCACCCCAACATAAGAAAAGCAACACAAAACCATTATAAATGAACGAATATTGCCAAGACTGCGAAAAGGTTCAAGATACTTCATGTATAAAGTAATTTCAGAATTGAAATATCAATCCTTCAGATGGATAAACAGAATTGATTAATTCAATCATTTGAGGAGTATCTTTAAAACACTCTACATTGTAATTCTGCCTTGGAGCTGACAGATAAAAGTAAATGCTTTAGAAAAATAAAATATAACAAATGTTTTTTTAAATCTACTAACTCCATTTATTTTATACACCAGAACAGGAGAGACCACCTACCTTTCTTCCCCCTGTGTTTAGGCGAAGAGGAGTTAGGAAGGGATCAAAAATCATATGGCTGGTTTCAATATTGACAGGTGACTGTCTTTTCCCAACAGAGCAAAGATTCCAAGCTGAGTTCACCAAACCCCAAAAGGAGGGCACTGTGAAATATAAGAAAGTGCAAGTTTAAGGGAAGTCTGGAAAGATTGGGGCAGTACATGCCAGGCAGATGGCCAGGTAATTAAACTTGTCAGATTGTCTGCACACACACTTTGAAACTGAAAACAGACAAATTCATCTTGCATTTGAATTTTAAAACTTCACACAACAAGACCAAAACATATGGTTTCATATAATATTGCATCAGGAAAGGTGGATTACTTCTTTTCCTCTTAGATATAATCCCAGGTTCAATAATAAAAAGCTCCTTTGCTATTACAGAGTATTTACTGAGCAACAGGAATGTAACTCAGTAGTCCTTATGCTAACTTTGCATATATTCCATGTGTCCTAGGACTGAAACTCTTCCATTCTACTCAACTCTAAAAAAAATACTTAAAATATTTAGAAAAAAATCATTAAAACACACAGAAATGTTGTAAGAGAAACACATACTGGAGAACATGACTGCTGTCCTGAAATTCTATCTATTTCTGTTCTGTTCGCCCAAATCTTTCTTTAGATAAAATTTTGGTTTAAAAAAATCAACTTGTTGGAGAAGTCACACTCTGGTGGTGAGGAAGGATAAGTTCCTTCCCTGGGCATGAAATGGCTTGGAACAAGGTGAAAACCCTGACTGTGGACAAACTGAGTTACTTCCTGCATTTCCTATCTGGACAAAAAATGTGATGTAACTACATATTGCTGCATATCAGGGAACTGAAGCTGAGGGTCCCATTGCATCTCATCTGCAATTTACAGACAAGATCAACCCAGATTCTCTTTGGCTACTGAAAACATGAGTGGAGTGGAATTACAAGATACACAAAGGACACATTTAGATTTGTGTCTGCAACTTCAACCTTGTCAGAATTGTTCTGTAGTTTTGTGTAGCAGCTGGAAGTTTCTCAATCTTGTTGTGAGGTTTTTTTGGTTTTTTTTTCTTTTTACATGTTGCTAAAAGTTTTCATCAGACTGGGGAAGGCTGGGTTTGCCTGGTGGGTGGAGATGAAAACAACCCACCTGGGCTATGAAAAGCTTTTTTGTTGCTGTGGTCAGTTGGATGCAGGATTTTGTAGTGGGAATGTTTGCTCCTGATTGCAGTTTTTGGCTACTCTAGTGGGAGCTACATAGAGTTTTGGCTGGATTTGAACTTCACATTTACACTGGGCTTAACACATTGAGAGAATATTCCTTGGAGGGGAAAAGGGTGGAAAACACCTTCTGAATAATACAGCTCTAGGACAAGGGTGATCTTGGTATTTTTCTTCTGTGTTTTATACAACTCATTCTTTTTGCCTTCATATTTTGAGTGTATGTAGAGGTGTGAAACTTTGGTTGGGTTAATCTATATTTCATGTCACTTTTCTACAAAATTAGATAAACTTTCTGGGGAATTCTTAGGTTGCTGCTTGCACAGCAAAAACTCCCTGTAAGTGTCTATGCAGGAGTGGTGGAAAGTGTTTTGCAGCTGTTGGCTGCTCCAATAGTTCAGGTGTTATCATCTACAGATGTTAACTCCTATTACAAAATACCTGAAAACTCAATTTTCAGTTGAAGCTGTTTCATTCTTGCTGTGTCTGTGCAGCCACAGATGCTACAGGTGCAGGTGAACTCTAACAGCCATAACTGAGGTGGTGCAGCTAGCAAAGCTTAAATCTGCCTTGCATACAAATTTTATGTGACTGTGTGCTACTCATACCTTAAATTTGCTGGTGGCTTATCTTTTTTTAACACCTGAGTTAGACAATCAAATCAGTAACTCCTCCTAGGATATACTACATGAAAATATCAGAGGAAGGATGATAGTGGAATGCTTCACAGCCATGGGAAAGCAATTATCAGGGAATAGCACCCAAAATGGGTGGAATTGCAGGTGCCCATATCAAGTTGTGTCAGCAGTCTTTTATTTGAATAACAAACTCTGTGTGCCACCACCCCAAAGAAGGTCCAATGGAAGGCCCTTAAAATAAGTGAAGCTTTGTATGATCTGAAAAATAAACTTGCAGGTCTTAAAAAGTTTTTTGGCTGTGTTTGTCCTCCCAGCCAATTTGCACTTCCACTGTGAACTTAGAAGCCTAGAGAAGTTCACAGAATATACTAAACAATAGCACTACTACTCTGAAATTGAATAAAGGAAGTGTAGTGTAATTAAAACCAAGCCATCTCACAACTAGTTTTTCTAGTGCATTTTCTAAAGAGAAATACCACAGCAGTTCACTTCAGGTATTGTAAGACAGAAAATCTCTTTTATACAGAAGCCTAAAATAAAATTTAGGTTGAGAGAGCCTGGTTTCTCTTGATTAATTCCCCCGTTGTGTTACTGGTGGTATTTTAAAAAATGAATTAATGAAACTGTAGAGCTATAGAATCAAAGGGGGAAATATTACCTGGGGAATTTGCTGCTTCAATGGTTTCTAGTATTACTTAAAAAAACTCCAACATTCTGGTCAGAAATATTCCTGGAACTGGTAAAAAACAAGTCTTTAGCAAGTTTTTAAATAAATAAAAAACCTAGACAATGTCCAATAAAACAGCAAACCAAACATGTCAGCCCATTATCTTCAAGTTGATAGCAAAACTATTTATGATGCAGCTGGGACTGACCCAGAAAAGCTGCACTGGAGAAGAGCTGCTAGGAGGGGTTATTTTATAATGTTATTCCTGCTTCTGACAGGAAACCTTGCATTCTGTGCCATGCCTGTCACAACAGCCTGGAACTTGAGGAGAGGGAGCTGCAGAGTTGTGGCATTGCCCTGCAAAGGTCACAGATGTCATCAGACATGTGAGTGTGAGCTGAAATCTTTGATTCCTCTCTAAACACCTCAAATTAAAGCTCCAGGACCTCTCCAGTCCTGTTTCTATTTCCATTCACACAAAGAGAAAAGTTCCCCACTGATCAGAGTGATTTGGCCTGTGCTTCAGCCCAAAATTAATTGACTGACTTAGGACTGCATACCTAAGCTGACTAGAGAATGGGGATATTAAGCAATATTAATGTCTGATTACATTTAATTAAAGTAATTAGTGCTGCTTCTTAGATGCCCAAAGTGATCTAAAAGTATTCAGAACTGTAATAGAAAAAATCTAGGAAGGTTCATGTAGGAAGTCAAGGCTTAAATTAAATACAGTTACTGTATTAACCGTTTAGTCTGAAGAAATCAGATGTATGAATGTAAGAAAACATTTAAAATTATTCATTATTTTTTATTCCAACTTAACTAGCAGACAAGGTTCTACTTGGGCCTCAGTCATTAATGAAACAGTATCTCCTTTCCCACACTTATGCTGTATTTCCAGAAAAATTACTCATGTGTGAAATATGCTGGTTTTTTGTGTGTGGACCTCTGAAGCATTTTAATCAGTTCCTGTACTGTACAGCAGCTACTGTGACTCTCTATTTTGCATGCAGGCCAAATATCAGCTCAAAATATCACTTAACAAGGTGTTCCAGCTCCTGGTTATTGTACCCAAAGCCTGAGTATATTGTGTCATCTCTGCTTCCTCTATAAATCCCCCCGAAGTTGCACTTCTTGGGAGCTGAGTTGTTGCAAACATATTACACAGACATCAGATCATAAGTTTGTGTCTGATCAATGCCTTCAACCTTCTCCTAACAGAAAATTCAGAGTTTATATCCTCTGCATGCTGCCACACTACGGACAACAGATTTCTGTGTGTGTGTGTGTTTTATATGGTGAGGTGGATTACTTATATTTTATACCTGTGCAGGAATCTCTGACATCTTTATTTAGTTTGTATCTTACTGCAGCTGCTCTCTTTTCAATTTACTGGGAACAATTTATATTGAGATAGATGAAGATGCTTGAGCATCAGCATGCCACAAAAGGATGAGGAATTCTCATGGCTTTTACCAAACTTATGCATAACAGCAGTGAAATAAAAGCAGCTAGAACAGTAAAGCAAGGATTGAGAGCTATTCTGGTAATGAATACCACGGATTTGCTGAAATAAATACGAGCCTCCCCTCTCCAGAGGAAAGCAAAGAAGGCATGGTGTCCCAGAAGGATCTTCTTCCATAGGGACAGCAAATTTGCAGACAAGCAGAATGGTATTGCCTGCAGGGAACACTTTGCATTTGTGCTGAGAGAAGCCAACAGTTTTCTAGGATGGGAATAGGGGTGTAGTGTGTAGGACATCTGAATTGCCTGACTGTAATAAAAAGTCATGCTGGACTCAAAGGCGTGGGTCCTGGAAGGGCTGTGGACAGGTATCCAGTGTGAAATGATTGGGTCTGAGCAAGGCAAGGACCCTGCTTTAGCAGCAACTACAGAAGTAGCATTTTTTGCATCCAAAAACGTGTAGATTTGGTGCTAGGGGCTATGGTTTAGTTGTGGACCTGCAGTATTGGTTTAAGGGCTGGACTCTATGACCTCAGAGGTCTTTTCCAACCTTAGTGATTTGATGATTGCATAATAGGTATTCCACTACACTCAATTCAGATCTCTGTAGGAATGAAAAACCATGTGTAGTTTATTTTTGTGTAACAGAGTGAAGAACTAGGTAGAAATTAAGAACCTTATTTAAATGGCCACCAGAATGAAGGTGTTCTGGGTTGTTCTGAGCCTTTCTTTAAACAGGAGAAAGAAGCCAGGAAACTTCAAATACAGGAAATAAATAGGGTGGCTGGAAGTAAGGGAGCATTTCCAAAAAATGCTGTCCAAATAAGAAAAATGGAAAAGGTGATAAACTCTGGCAAGTTAAATATAAAACTAAAATAAGACATGCCAGAAGAAGATATTTAAGAGCAATTCTCTGAAGTCTTAAAAGCCACCAATAACTTGTTTAAGAGGATAAGAAGCAAGAACACTGGCTGAGTGTGTAGGACCAGCTGGTGATCAAGTTGTAAGAGCAGTACAGGCAACATTATGTGGCAGTAAAGCTGTGTGAGTTCTTTTCCTTACTGCTCACAAAAAGGTGCCAAGGGATGTTCCTACATGGAGCTTCTTTATGGGGAATGAATCTGAGGAACTGTCCCAGA